TTTAATTGCTAGCTGGAAAGCAAGCTTTTTTACTTCGGTAGGAGTTAAACCAAAATATATATCTGCTGCTCGCAACAGGTAGGTGACCAGTTCTTTTTCTTCTTTTTCTGGCAATATCAATTGACTTTTGTATCCTATAACATTCAGGGAGGTGGGGTTTTCAATTTTGTCAATTAGATCTGCTATAGAACCATGTGATGGGTTAGTAATAATAATTTTTTTACAATAACGTGCTAATGTTCTGTAATTAATGCCATGGTTTTTTGCTGCTGATCTAATAGAAATGTTATTAATCTTTACATCTTTAACAACACACATTATGACATCTCCAGAAGTATAACCTCTATTAGTTTTTCTTTTAAAATTTCGTACCATGTTTATTACTAAGCAAATAAAAATATTTGCAAATAATGTAAACAAAACATTAATATATATATATAATATATATATATATATATATATATATATATATATATATATATATATATATATATATATATATACATATACATATATATATATATATATATACATATATATATATATATATATATATATATATATATATATATATATATATATATATATATATATATATATATATATATATATATATATATATATATATATACAGGGGCGGGTTTAGCTTTTTAAAGAGGTTAGTCAAAAAAGTCGGTTGTGGATTTTACTGCCCCCTCCCCACGAAAGGACAGGGGGGGATGAAGATGAAATACAAAAAAAAGCACCTACCCCATTTGTTTGATAAATAAGTTATTTGCAAAGCCTTCAAAAAAGCGACTCAAATGGGGTTGCATATTTAATATATATATATATATATATATATATATATATATATATATATATATATATATATATATATATATATATATATATATATATATATATATATATATATATATATATATATATATATATATATATATATATATATATATATATATATATATATATATAGATATATATAGATATATAGTATTAAAACTAGCAAGGATCCATTAAATCTACAAAAATAAAATATTGTCTGTGGTATTAAAATACTTTGTGGGCATCATTATTGTGTATAATTGTAACATATATAAATAATACACCTGTATGGAGTATAACAAATCATTAATTAAATAGGCAAGGTTTGCATAGTTAGGTGACTTGCAAATAGAATAAAAACTATGTAAAAGTAAACAACTACAATAACATTAATACCATAATTATAAAAAAACTATAATGTAATTGATTAGTATGACTATCATACTATGAGAAATGCAATAACACAAAAGCAATAATATGATAACTAACCATAAAAACCCATTTTGTTATTTTATTTCATTGATAGATATGCTATATAATGTTAAACAATTGTAATATTAATGTTCGTAAACAAAGTTATGCTTACATTTAATGTGTTGCATGTGTTTATTTTCTCTAAACTGTTGAATAATGATCAATAAAGTAAACTTCAAATAATGAAAGCTTACTAAATTAAAACCATATTTCAACTCAAATAACCACACAAGGTAGAATCTCAAGGTAGAGCTTAAAAAAAGGAGAAAAAGTATATAATAGACAATGAATATAATGCTCCTAATTAAAATAACAAAGATACAGTACATAACGGTACCAGTTTCGATTAACAATTGACAGGTAAAACTAAAGATAAATATAGAAAAAAAGAATACAATAAAAATTAGACATGTTTAAATTTATAAAGATAATACAACTTCATGAAAAATATAAAATAACAACTAAAATAAAATAAATAATCCTTTTAAATAAATAAAACTGTAAAAAATAAAATAACTATATTTTTTAATTTAAAAATTATACAAACTTTCTATTTGAAGAAGATCTTAAAGATACTGAATAAAGATTAGTATATACAGTGTATATACAAACCTTTATTCAGTATCTAATTTACAATGTAAAAAACACATAAATTCTTCCCTAACATCATAGGAATTGTCTATTAATCTAATTATTAAAGACAATTATTCTTGATTGGAGCAGTCAGAAGCTTCATCAGCAATAACTGAAAAAATTCGATTTTCTTTTATTTTAGAAACCAAAATATTCTGGATGTCCTTTCCCCAACAACTTATTAATTCATTCTGTGAGGAATTAGAAATATAAGATGCATTCTTTGCACAGCTGTTAAGATAAAGTTCAAGAATTTTATCCCCACCTCTGATTCTGTAGTTTAAATGTTCAATAAAATTACCTACTCCACCCACTAAAGAATATTCGCCAATGACCATCACAATGACCTCTGAAAGCTATATTAAGTTGACCTAAGAAAATGATTTTCTCACAAAACAACTTTTTACAATTTAAAGCTATCTCCTTTTCACATTCTTTATTAAAATATCTATATTTTAAATATTTCTATTCATAGTATTTAAAACTGTGGAAAATATGGTCCAGGCATTATAATGTAGAATTTGTACTGCGTGATGATGTTCATAAATATTTCAGCTGAGTGATATTCATAATTATTCCCGTTTTTCCCATGGTAATGTCTATTAAAAGTGCTCACAGCATCTGGCCTATATTTGAATGACTGAGAACAAATTTTTAAATCTAGAAGTTTTTGAAAGGTATTTATATCTAAACAAAAGGCAACACAAACAAAATGCTCCATCTTCAGAAGGTAAATATCTAAGCCATGAAAATTGTTTTAATGATAAAAGTTTTTAAAGATTGCCCATTTGTTTTTAAAAAAGAAGTTTCATCAGGAACAAAAACATTTTGAATCAAATTTTATATTTGTAAATCTTTCAAAGTAGAAGCCTTCGAACGAAACAACAAATTAACAATATCTGATGATGAACATAGAATAAGGTTCAATATTAAGATTAAACATAATTTTATTTTTTAAGAAAAAACTGTTCTATAGTAACACTTAAGTCTTGTAGAACACACAGTTAAAAGAGCAAGAACACAAAGAAACACAGACCATAAAAATTCTTTACACATATGAAATGTTTCTTCCTTAACAAGGTCATTTTTTAATTTTCCTGAGTCTATAAAATGTGTGGATACAGACACTGCTAACAAATTATCAATTGATAAAAACTCATTTGGATACATTGAGCACAAGCTTACAAACAATGGATGATTACTGTAAAAAGAGGCATTTAAATATAAATCAATTGCTGTCAGTATTTTTAAACCCATTGCCAGACTATTATCACCACACAGATAAATCCAAAATGAGCTAAATAAGTAGGTACGCGCATTTACGTCATTTACTGAACCGATTTTTGTGATAAAATCTTGTGACTCGTTTTTTTCACTTTTTTTTAGGCAACGTGGGGTAGACGTAGTTTTGTGTAGTTTCTTTTTAGAAACATATATACACATAGATACTTTTTGGAAAGAAGAGAAGCTGATCTTTAGTTTTTTTAAACTTTTATGTATGGTTACTAAACTTTTTAACGGATTATTTTGCTCCTGAATATTTGGTTGATGTTTTCACATAAATTTGTAGTCGAAGGCATGAAGTTTCCGCTTTTTTGATTGTTCAGCCACCTTTATACATGTATTTTCTATTTATGTGCCAAATTTCAACGAAAAATATTAGGGAGCAGATATGTAACGAGGTGCTTTTTTAAATATACTGCTTTTTTGAAGTAGGGTTAGACTAACGTTTTTAGTGGTGTTTTTTTTTAGAAACATATATAAACAAAAAGTATATTTGGAAAGAAGAAAGGTTAGGCTTGATTTTTATAGTACTTTTATTTATAACCACTAAACTTTTTTATGGTTAGTTTTGCTAAAAACTTTCATGAAAATTTCGTTGATGTTCTCACATTAAGTTCTTATCGAAGGAATGAAGTTTCCGCTTTTTTTGTTATTCAGGAACTTTTTTGCATGCATTTTCTTTGTACATGCCAAATTTCAGCCAAAAATATTAGGGAGCAGATAGTATAAGAAGTGTAGGACTTTTGGTACCTAAATTCGGTTTTTTTTGTTTTTGTTTTTGTTTTATCGGTAAGAGAAATACGGGGAGGATAGGGGGGTGGCGAATGGTAAACAAAAAAATTCTTACTACATTGTATTATTTAATTTTTAATATTAGATTATTTTAATAAATAAAAAATGGTAAAAGTCATAACAAAGAAGACTTCAAAAAGTAAGTTAATTTCTTTTTCATGATAATAACAAAGTTTGTTTACATCATCATTATGTAAACAAAGATTAAGGTTTTTAAACTTATCATTATTGTTTTGTTATTTAAAAAAGTTATAAGTTTTAAAATATTAATCTTTGTTTACATATCATCATGATATGTAAACAAAGATTAAGGTTTTTAAACTTATAGTATAAGTTTAAAAACTTTAATCTTTGGTATAAGTTATACCAATGATAGTATATATTAAAAAAGATTAGGATTTAAGATTAAACCGTTACTTTGGAATATTTTATTAACTAATAGTATCAGATGCCAATGTTGTAAATACACCATATATATAAAAATATACAAATGACATATACTTTAAAGTAAAACTTTATTGGCTTAAGCCAATACAGTTTTTGACAAAATATTTTTAGAATAATATTATTAATGATAATTTTAGAATAACATTATTATTTTTTTAGAATAATATTATGATTTTATTGATATTTTAAGAATAATATTATTATTGATATTTTAAAATATTATTATTATTGATATTTTTATACGAATAAGCTTATTATAAATAAGCTTATTTTTGTAAAATTACAAAGATACTTTTACAATAATATGTTTATTCTTATAAAAGTATCTTGTTAGTGTTTTTCTAATACAGTAATATAATTTTAAAATACAGTAATATAATTTATGTTTTTTATTTTTTTTTTTATTGCTTTTTTTTTTAGTTACATAGGTTAGTTACATTAACTTTAGTTCCTTAGTCATCTTTTGCAACTAGTAATTTAATAAACTATTACATTTAATATGTATATACATTTCTTGTTATTTGCTATATTGATTTTTTGTTACAACTTTGTAATTTTAGTATCTACCTCTTGTGCTACACCTGGTAAGTTAAACAACTATTAGTTTTTAATGTGCAAACTTTATAATATGTTTAACTTTAGTTCCTTAGTCATCTTTTGCAACTAGTAATTTAATAAACTATTACATTTAATATGTATATACATTTCTTGTTATTTGCTATATTGATTTTTTGTTACAACTTTGTAATTTTATTTTAAAATAGTTAGTATAATAATTAAGTCAAGTTTTGTGGCTTGCAAATAGGTACAGCAAGTTTTGTAGCTTGCAAATAGATACAGCAAGTTTTGTGGCTTGCAAATGTGTACCGCAAGTTTTATGGCTTGTAAATAGGTACAGCAAGTTTTGTGGCTTGCAAATAGGTACAGCAAGTTTTGTGGCTTGCAAATAAGTACCGCAAGTTTTATGGCTTGCAAATAAGTACCGCAAGTTTTGTGGCTTGCAAATAGATACAGCAAGTTTTGTGGCTTGCAAATAGGTACAGCAAGTTTTGTGGCTTGCAAATGTGTACCGCAAGTTTTGTGGCTTGCAAATAAGTACCGCAAGTTTTGTGGCTTGCAAATAGGTATAGCAAGTTTTGTGGCTTGCAAAAAAAAAAGATAGGCGGCTCTGGCTTACCTTCACGTGGTGTCTATTGTTAAAAATGATTTATTTAGTTGCATTGGAACTTAATTTAAATCATTTACTAAAAGCCAAGACATAAATTAATTACTATGTTTCGAAACATTTGTTTTTTTGTTTGTTTGTTTTTTATAAGGTTGGTTGGTTAAATATGATTATTTAAATGAGAAAATGTATACTCGTGCAATCTGGTAAAACAATTCTGTATTGTGCTTTCTTTTTTTAATAATTGCATGCGAAAATGTTGAAAATATCATTTCTATGTGTTTTCTTTTTTACGTTGGTTGAGGGGAAGGGGGAAAACCATCCCTCTCCTCAAATTGTACATCACTAATGTATGTTCTATAGAAAAAAAATATTGCTTCATGTAATACAACAATATTTTCAATACTAATGTATGTTGTATAGTTATAAAAGATTATTTTTTCTTTTTAACAATACATTTGATTATTGAAATAAAGATGACGTTATTTTTTGTTAGGTGGGGAGGGGGGGAGAGGTGGTGCATTAGACTTCCTTTATTTAAAGTCAATGTGTACATCAATAATATATGTTGAATAGTAATAAAATATTATTTTTACTTGTTAACATTTAGTTATTGTAATAAAGATTTAATTATTTTTATTTTTTGTTATGCGTTGGGGCAGGGGCGGGGGGGGGCGATGCGACATACGCCCTTCCCTAAAGTTAGTGTGCACATCACTAATGTATGTTGTATAGTAAAAAAATATATTTTTACTTTTTAACAAAATATTTAATTACTGTAATAAAGATTAAATTATTTATTAGAATGTATGATTATTGTATTAGGGTGTTATAACATCATAACCACATCTACGGCCAACTCTAAGATCACCTTATTTTGTTTGGCAGTGTTCTGGAATCAAGTTATGGCAATATTTTATGTATAAAATCTAACAATTACATTAAAAAAGTGCTTATTTTTGACAAAAACTTGTATTTTCTTAAGGGTTAGATGGTGTTTCATTACCCCCTCTGGCTCCCAAGATACACCCTACGTCCAGGCACCTATATGAACTTGTAGCCCATTAGTGCACCTATCTTTTGATACCAAGATATAGATATTTGGATGAAAATTGACAAAGTTATAATAATTTAAGTGAAAAAAATAATTATTTTGACCACAGTTTCTTCAACAATTCCATATATCTTAAATTTGGTACTAAAAACGTTATAACTTTTTTTAGAATTGTTCGTTTTTAATAATTTTTTCACCTTTAAAATACTGTATTAAAGGCCTTTCTAATGATATATAACATTGCACTATATGATTAATTTAAAAATTTCAGTGCGCGTACCTAAAATAAGCAATTGTCAGTTGATTCAGCTGAATCAGATCTGATCAGATCTGTAACAGAGCTGTAACTGATCAGAGCTGTAACTGATCACTGTAACTGATCACTGTAACTGATCAAAGCTGTAACTGATCACTGTAACTGATCACTGTAACTGATCACTGTAACTGATCAGAGCTTAAACAGATCTGATCAGATCTGTAAAAAGGGCAATTAAAAATTTTTAAAGTAAAAAAAAATCTACAATAAGCTCAATGGAAAATAAACTTGGATTTAATCATTTAATTACAATAAATCAGTTTGGTAAAAAGTTGAACCAATTAGGCCAAGGCAAAAAATGTATTTTATAATATTATTACTATATAAATTTACATCCCCAAATGAACGAACGCAGGGATAATATGTTTACAAATTTTAAATGTAATTTTTTATTTTACTTGTTGGGATAAATAAAGTAAATCTTACTTCACCGCCTAGTTGTTCTTGACTCCTGAGGAATGTCGTGCTCTACTCTTTATTGACTTATGAACAGTCAACAACTGATAAAAATCTGACTTATGAAGGAGATTAATCTTTACTGACAATTCTGAATAAATAGTTTGTAAACTTTCAATAAATCCATTTTCAAGCAAATACCTTACAGATTGTAAATGCATGCCAAATCAAAAATTATTTAAAATTTATTTAAAACATTCAAAGAATTATTGTTAGAAAAGGCTTCTTTTAAATTAGTGAGGGGGCAATTAAATTCGACTAACTTGGCCTGAAGTTACGCTACCGAACGACAAAAATAAAACAATTTAAAGTGCTTTAAAAAGTTTTTAAAATCTCGTCAGCCGAATAAAAGGGCCAGATAAGTCGCAAGATTTTTTTGACTAACTTGGCCTTAAGTTACGTTACCGAACAGTAAAAATAAAAAAAATTTAAAGTACTTTAATAATTTTTTGAAATCTCGTCAGCCGAATAAACGGGCCAGATAAGTCGCAAGATTTCTTGACTAACTTGGTCCGAAGTTACGCTACCGAAAAAAAAAATTACAAGACGGGGCTATTGCGTGCGCATATACTTATCATAGTTTAATTGGTATTGCTGTTTAGACCAAAAAAATAGAGATTTTATTTAATTTCAAAAATCTCAAAAAAATATAACCTATTTCATTAGCCTGATCGTTGTTTAGTTTAGTAAAAAAGATGTTAGTCAATGCGCCTAACAAGACTAACCCTAAACCCGCCCCTGTATATATATGTATATATATATATATATATATATATATATAATATATATATATATATATATATATATATATATATATATATATATATATATATATATATATATGTATATATATATATATATATATATATATATATATATATATATATATATATATATATATATATATATATATATATATATATATATATATATATATATATATATATATATATATACATAAACCCACTAAATATAAACAATGCACAAACAAAACAACAGACAGTTTTACAAACTAAACAACAGCTAGTTGTTTAGTTTGTAAACAAAACAATAAACAGTTGAACTTCTGCAATCCTTTTTCTATAATTATACTAAACATTGGATCGGAATCTAAAGTTATGCACGTTGAAATAAAAATAATTTAGATTACAGATATTTAGTTAAACAAATATAACACTTTGACTTTAGATTTTTAAAGAATATCTTAAACATTAAAATATTCCTCAATAATGCGGAAAATAAACAAAGCCACTAAATATTCTGCAAGCGGCGTTTAATTTGCAGCGCATGGAGTCGAGGCAAGTGTGACAACCATCCCCATATAATTTGTGACAAGCAACCCCTTCTGAGTAAGTTACTGGACACCTGTACATTTACCTAAAAGCGTGAGAATTTCATGATATTTTTTTACGGATTAAGTTACTCAAATGAATAAAGTACTTTATAAATCTACATTCAAAACACAATAAAATAATTTTCGTTTGGTAAAAGAAAATTTCTGAGTAGGCGAAATTTTACTTTTTCATATCAAAAACCTATAAAAACGAATAACTTTTCTTCTGCACGCTAAGAAAAGATAAAAATTACTGTAAAAATGTTTTTTTTATATAACATTTCCATTGTATAATTTGAAATTTCTATATCTTATTTACATTTCCTGTAATAAACTTTGTGACAACCAACCCGCGTGACAACCAACCCCGCTCTCCCCTACTATTATTAATAATTTTGAGCATAACAATTATGTTTAACAATTTAAATTTAATAATTGTTTATTATTAAGATTATTTATTCAGATGCATAAATATGATGAATATTATTATTGGCGTTTTTTTTTTTTTTTTATTATTTTTTTTTTTTTTGCTGGTCTTTTTTTTAGTTTGTTATTTTACTCCCTATTTAAAATATATTTTATTAAACTTTAACGGTAAAAAAAAAAATTTAAAAGATATGTAACTTACATTATTACGGTTTTTAAAATATAAAATATAAAAGCATTGTAACTTACGGTGTATTTATTATGGGACTTAGTGATAAGACAACTACAGTCTTCTTTTTGCCCCGGCCATATTTTATTTTGTTCTTTGGTATTGTAATTACTCATAGCGACGAAATATATATACATAAAAGAAGAAAAAAATGCAATAAAGCCTAAAGGTGTTGAATATGGAAATCAAACAAACTTTTTTGTTAGTCAAGTTGAAGAAAAGGCATTAGGCAGAGTTGTCAAAAAGACTTTTTAATCCATCTATTTCAAATGATTTTGGGTATTGACCAAAGTTTAAAAAATAAAATATTATACTGGTCAAAATTTCATATTCGTTAAGCAAATTAAAATTTCAAAATACATGTTAATGTAAACAAGAGACATCTTTGGTTTTAAAAACCACTTAAATTTTATGTTTCAAATATCTATGCTGTCGCAAAGTAATTTAAAACTTATATATTTCTCTTTTACACATAGCTACCTCATATATGCGAATATAGCTTGGGCGAGTACGCATATAACCAAATTGAAAACTTTATATCGACGTCAAAAACATGCTGTAAGACTAATATAATATAAAGACAAATTTACACACGCTGAACCCTTACTTAAAGAAATGAATGTGCTTAGTATTTATCAAATTAACATTTACCAAAATATATTGTTTATGCTAAAATTTAAATTAGTTCAAGTACCAAACCATTTTTTAAATAACTTTTTTATAAATAATGTTAATAAATATAACACAAGAAAAAAAGGAAACTTTATTACACCTTTCAAAAAAACAAAACTTTCCCAGTTCTCAATTTCATATCGGGGTCCTTATTTATACAACAAACTAGTAACTAAAAATAAATCAATTTGCAATCTAGATAATCAAAATTCCTTGAAAAAAAAGTTAAAAAATCTGATGCTGAATCTAAACAGATATTCAGAATTCTTCTAAGACTATAAATTAAAATACATATATATTAACTACAAAGTGAACTGACTAGTTTATGTGTATTATCTAAATGACTCTTACCTTTCTCAAACAATATATCAAAAATTGTTTATTACACACAAAAAAAACACTTGATTTTTTCTTATCAATTTTAGTTATTATGCTGCTTGTTATGTCTCATTTTTTACACTGAGCTTATTTTGAGTTTATTTTTATTATGAGCTTAATTTATAAAATTATATATTAAATTATAAAAATTTATAAAATTATATATTAAATTATAAAAATATAGTTGTACTTAACATATAATTATATTTAGCATAGTCATAATATATATCAAACACATTGTAAGGGCTTCGGGATAAGATCATTACGATCTTCTTAAAGTCCGGCCTGCACTATTTAATTATAAATTTCACTATATATTTTGACTCACGAAACTTGTAAATATTACAACTTTTAATTTACGAAACTTGTAAATGTTATATGTACGGCAAATATATGAATAAAAAAAAATTAAAAAAAAAAAAATATTTCTTCAGCAAATTTGCTAAGATAAAAAATTTGTAACAAAAGTGTTTCTCTTAATAGCGTTTTAATCAACTAGACTATTTCTTCACGTGTATAATGCCAAGTGAAATGTGCCGATATTTTATGCCTGATTTCTGATTCTGATTTTTTCTTTCATGCTTAAGGCTGTATAATCAAAATCCAAAACAATCTTTGTTTATCATTTAGATCTCTGAGGAAGCTTGTTGATCATTATTGAACTGAAATATATATGGCCACATTTTTTACATTAAAAGTTTTCTATATTTAACCAGGGTTTTTCAAAAAATATTAAAGTTTGATTTTTATCACATAAAATTGTTTTAGCTTTGCTATTTGACTTACATAAAAGTTCGGAATTTTTTATTACAGGTTTTCACAACATTTTCAAAAAAAATTTGGGACCATCAAACATACAACTTGTATTACAAGTTATCATAATATCTACAGGTAGAGTTTTCTTAAAAACACATACCCCCTTAAACACCACACGTATAAACTTTCAGCTCTGGGTTTCACTAATGAAAATGGAATTATTAAATAATGATTGAATCAGTATCTCTAAACATCCTAGATGACAAATTAATTAAAAGTTTACCTCTTTTATAATATTAAAATCCTCAAAAAGAGAATGATAATCAAATTTTTTGTTTTAAAAATGGCTAAATTTATGCATTATGACCTCCTACTGTTTAATAGTTTAATTATAAGTTTGCGATTTACTTATTT